GAAGGAAACTTTTGATTTTTTGATAACTTTCTGTATACTGATGCTATTTTTTTGAGTTTTCCCCAGGAACAGTAGAAGCTCCTTGCAGCCAAGAGGTAACTACAGAGCTTCCCACCACCCGACTGTCTGGAGAAAGACAAGGTAAGCGACATGTGCCACCACAGATTGTGCTCAGGAGCCACTGAGCCTGTGCACAGGCTAAAAGAATGAACAATATTAACCCCTCACTCCTTACATTACTGAAATCTCCACCCTGGGGAGGGATTTGTCCACCAGTTTTTGTTCATGAGATGTATATACTAGCATGATTTCTCCCTGGGCTTGCGTGCCCCACACTGTACCCAACATGTGCCTTGGGACTCTCTCCGCTTATGCCTTACTCATAGGTAGCACAGGCTACCTCCTCCTCCCAGTTAACTCCTCCTCTGAAACAAATCATTTCTCCCTTGACAATCCTTGCTGTCTCAGTAATTGGCTTTCTGTTTGGCAACCCCCCCGCCCCCCGGCCTGTGGGTTCATTAACAATATGGTTACCCAAAACTGTAGAGGAGGAGATATTAGTGGTTGCTAGGAGACAGGAACCTGGGGTGGGTAGAGATGGGTAAGAATGCAAAGAAGCATAAGGAAGACCTTTTGTGTTGAAAAAAGTTCAATATCTCTTATTGTTGTGATGGCTACATGACTCTATCTGTGGGATAAAATTTCTGATTTTGTTAAAGCCAGAAATAGAAGAATGACCTCAAGAAAAGTTTAAGAGAATATTTTTTCTTGTCTTCTAGCTCTACAAGAATAGTCTCAGTGTTTCACATACGTCTCCCTTATCCATACCAAACCGTTATGAAATATTTTGAGCTACCTCTGCACATCACTCACAGCAGCAAACAAATAAACACACAAAAAACAATGGCCAAATGTCCGGTGACTATGAGAAATTATTAGATTCAGAAAGAAGTGTGGACCTAACAAGTGAAGTCATTTTACATAATTATATGTATAATGTTGGAAAAGCTTTGAATATTTGTGGCAAGCATACTTCCACATTCCTAACTCACCCAGTCAACAACCATGAAAGAAAAGGGAGTTCCCACCAAAAGCTCACAATTCTACTTGTCAAGTGATCCCAAGTGACATCATTTCATTCCCTGAGTCAGCAATAGAAACAGAATTGTTTCTGTTCACTTCTAGGTGCCCCCAACCCAGCCCTGTTCTGCATGCCCTGGCTAACTTAGGCTTTTAATTCTTCCTTAAATGGAATCATTCCTCTGTTTTCTTGTATTAGGTACATTTTGTTACTTTTACTTATCTCTTCAAAGTGTTTTATTCATGTTTTTGCATGTCCTTGGGGTCAAATGAAAGGAAGTTATTTATCAAGTATTTTATTAATAAGATTCTATTAACAAGTGTCTTGCAGTTATACACCAAGGGAAAGGAGACAAAGGTGAGGAAGAAAGCAAAAGGGTGACAGAGGGAAGGCAAAGTTTAAGTTCAAGTTCAAGTTCAGCTGTTTTGTGAATACCATAATGCTAGTGGCCCCAGAGGACTTGAGCTGTGGATCTGCCTCAGTTAGCTTAAACACTTGTTTTTTAAACAGTTTGAAAAAACTAATTCAGTAGAATTAATTCAACAGTATCTCAAAGAATGGGGGCGGGGGAAGTATTCAATGTACTTAATACTATTACAAAACCAATATATAAACACACACTCATACAAATGATAAAACACAAAGAGTCTAGCAAGGTAGCGGGGAGAAGAGTTTGAGGGGAAGGGAGATGGGAGGGTGATTGTTGGGAAGGAGGGAGGGGATTTGGTGGGATTTCACCTCATGTGCACAGGGCAAGGGTATATTTCAAAATAACTAAGTAAATTTTAAATGTTTTAAACACAAGTAAGTGAGGTGATGATTATGTTCATCAGTTTGATTTAAGCGTTCCACATTGTATATCAAATCATCACATTGTACCCCATAAATGTATATAGTTATGATTTAATTAAAAATTAAAATATGTCAATGAGAATTAAAAAATTAATTCAACTATTAGTAATTTTACATAGTTGTACAAACATTACAATAGCATCTTTTTAAAAAGCTTTACATACATTTTAGAAACCACTATTCAGTATTACCAATATTACTGGCTGAAACTTGAATGGTTTGGCCAGGGTTTGCCTTATAGATCAAAGAGGTACCAAAATTACATAAGTCATCATTATGACCTTGGGAAACGATTAAGGCAAAATCATCTATATGGAAGTAAATTCAGAATATTAACAGGTGACTGTTAAGCAGATAAGGAAATAAAAGATGGCAGAAAATAAACTTGCCTATTTATAGATAAGAAACAGGAAATATGGAATATTTGCATCAGATGTCTGCTTTTAAAACTAGAATCCAGAAGGACTTCTTTCCCAATTCAATTAGACCATCCTAACACACACACATCTCATACAGTAATATAAATAAAGACACATTCTGAGGTCAAAGTAGATAGATCAGGATGAGGAAATGTATATGGATTTACAAGGGTGCACAGAGTTAGTGTCTTCTGTTTTCTTATTCTATTTACTTATTAGCTTTCAGAGAAATCAAACATTTTAATTAATCCCTAAAAAATAGAAAGGATGACATTTATTTTTATTTCAAAATATTTTGTTCTTTTTACCTGCTTCTCTATCACCTAGATTTTTATCAAATTTTTAAATTCTGATAGTCTTCTCACTGCCAAGCATAGTGATCCAAACAGCATATTTAAATGCATTCTTGTTAACTAAACTAGATTAAAATGCCAGGAACACACATTAGGACACAGCTTGTCAAAAAGCCCCTAAGAGAAAAGAAGAGCAAGCCACGATAGGTCCAACAAGGAGTGCAATGGAAGTTATGAAATGTCAGCGAAAGAGTGAGAACATAAAAAGATTAAGTGAGTAAAATAAGGTGAGGTATAGTCAGAAATTCCTTAAGTTTCAGGCTTAGAAGTTGTGTGCTTCTTGAATTATTGAGAGATGATGAATGATCCAGAATCTTTCATGTCTTTATCAAGTGAAAACATGTTTCTTTGTAACTGAAAGTCTTGCAGCTCTTTGTACAAATGCCCGTGACTCACTTGGTAAACCTAGCAATTGATTTTAAGTCAAGGGAAATTGTTTCGCCTCCAGGCCACTTTCACTTTTCATGATGAGGAGAAGCCAAGGTGATGCAACCCAGGAATAAAATTATGATATCAGAATACGTTCTCCGGAAAAGCAAGGGCAGGAGTGAGCCGAAGGTGCACACGGCGATTGTACACTGTATTTCAGGCTCTTGTGAATGCTCAAAAATTTGGTAGGTGCTTGATTGGAGCTTGGGTGCGAAGCCTGCTCAAAAATCGCAGAAAACACGGCAGAGAAGGCTTTAAAAGCTAGGTCTCCACATGGTTTAGGAATGTCTATTGCTTCTTTTGTTAAATAATCTTTTTTTATTTAATCATCTGAAATTCAGACAGCCTCAGAAATAATACAGGTTTGTACTTGCCACAGCCCACAACACTCCCTCAAATCTCAGAATCTTTCTTACCCTCCATTTTCCAGGTTTACTTTCTCATACCCTTGATGCTCCACTATCATCTTGACCAATCTCAATATATATGTTTACAATGCGCTGTAGGCTGGGCTCAGAATTCCCTGATGTATTCAGGTCTAAGGGACTTTGTCTCTAATCCACAGCTCATTCTCAGTACTACACTCTGAATCTGGCTGTCATCTAGAACCACCTGCCCCATATTAGAAATTATATTTGGGAAATATTTTCTTTCCTTAAGGAAAATAATAATTGGTCATGGTGGACAATTTGAAGAAGTCACTCAAAATCTTATATCAGAGTCACTTGGTCCAATCTCCATCTCCTCCTATTTTAAGTTGAAAATTTTAAAATGGGCAATAATTATATATATTTATGGGGCACAATATGATATTTTAATATATGTTTACATTGCAAGGTGATCAAATCATGCTAATTAGTACATCCATCACCTCACATCCCTTTTTGTGTGTGTGATGAAAATCTCTCCTCTTGACTAGGGAACCCAGCAGTGAGAATGGGCTTACTCCTTATTGGGTTCTTCCATCTCTCTCCAGGGATTTAAGTTTGTTGCTATCTATTTCTACTAAGCCAGTTTCAACTCCCTCATCATTTTTCATCTTTCAAATTTTTTGACTTTGTTTTTTCTGCTGTGTCTTGTTTTCTTTTTCCTTCCAGGGTTGTATCTTTTTGTTTCTTTTAGTGGTTCTCAGGAGGAAGCAGAGAAAAGCAAGTGTGTTTGATGTGCCACATTTAACGTTCTAAATTTCCTATCTCCTCCCCGTCCTTTTGCACTGCAATCAGCCTTTCCTATTTTCTTTATCTTGGTGGCATTCTTCTTCCCCCTTTGAGACTCTAGTGCCCTTCTACCTCCTGTGTCCCATCTGTGCTCCCACTTACTGGGCACAATGTAAGGGTATGTGGCACACCTCCTGAGTGAGGGACACAACTCCAACAGGGGCTTTACCCAACAAATGCAAACATTTGAACCTCTTTGTTTATACTTTCACATTAATCAGAAATAATAAATAAATAAATACTAGAAAATGAGCTAATATAACTTAGGGTGTGTTTTCCTTAATGTCTCCAGCTTCTCATGATGTAACACTTTCACTACCGTTTTATAATTGCCTGGAGTTCTCTTTCTTAAAATTCCCTTCATGTCCTGGTCAAACAGGAAATGATAGTAATATGAACGCTGTACACATGACGAGGTTTGAGTAATGATGCATTAATGTGAAAGCATCTGCATCAACATGTTCCTTCAGGCAGGATATACATGTCATTTTCTTTTTCTCTGAACATGATACAAAAATTTACACTTCTATTTAAAGAATGTAGGATTTTCCCACCAAATAAATAAATGTATGCTTTGTGTATTTAAGGAATATTTTGGAGATTTTGAAGTCATATCGAGCCATGTGGCTTACCTAGTCAGAAGGACACTTTGATATGTAGAATTCCGTAAGTATGTTGCTTATCCAGCTCTTTCTTTTATGGACGTTCAAGTCTTGAACATGATGGTCAAGAATAGCATTCACTTCAGGTCCTTAAGAGAAATTACCTTAGAGTTTATGGAAATGAAAAATAATAATGGTACAAATCAAATCTATCAAGTATAGAACACAAATGTCTCAACACAGTGATTAGGTAAATGAGGTGAAAGCTATGATAATTAGTTGGATGTAACCACTCCAATTTGTACAAAAAATCAACACATGGAATCCCAGATAGGCATATATGTATTCATGATCTATGTATATATGACTTACTAAAAGGAAAAAAAGAAAAAGAAATAGCTGTCAGACATAATTGATCCACTCTTTTGGAATACTGTGATGCAAGGGTAAACATATATGAGGTTCCAACCAGCCTCTTCCTGGTTGAGACCCTCCAGTGGATTCAGCAAATATTCTTTGTGATCACCTATCATACTTTATTCATGGTGACAATTACTTGATTCCTGTATTAACTTGTTTTTAAAAAAATAGGTAGTTTTTTTCCTCAGTCTCTGCTAAAGTTACTATTAAGTATAACTTTAAATATAATCTTTATTAATTGATTTACAGGAAAACCATTCTTTAACTCAATCTTCTGAAAATTCTGCTTTCCACCTTATTTCTGCAAGGACATTTGCTGCGCTCCATTCTGCAAAGTCAGTGGTTTCTGTTTGGATCCCCACAAGCAACTTATCACCTATGTTTCATGATATGACAATAATAAAAAGTATCGAAATCTCCTTTTAACAGCAAAACATTCTTTCTTGATTGGGGACCGCATAAAAAATATGAGTCCTCCACTGAATAAGGACATCATGGCATTTTCAATATTGTTTATGCATTAAATGTTACCCCAGACTTCCTCACTTCTCTGGGAACCGATCTTCAAACACGTAAAAACAGAGTTATAAGCTTCTATAATTCATTACTCAGAAATTTGATCTTGAAGATAAAACATAATGTCATCTACAGGTAGGTGGAGGTGAGGCAGGACCTGTGTCTTGGAGGGATGGTGCTGGTCTTCTCAGGGGTGCTTCATTTTGGGATCAGAAATGCTGGAAATAAGCCTCTTATTGCTGGTGGCAGTGCCACATTTTCTTCTCGGAACTATACTTGTCTCTGAGCCGTATCTAAACGCCTGACCGGGCCTCCTGAGCGTGACTGCTCACTCTCTTTTTCTACTTTAGTCAGATAATGGGTCAGTGAGTATTCAGGCCTATCCCTGAGACTTGGCTGCTGCCTTTGTTCCAAGACACAAAGCTAATGTTTTACAAATAATTCTACATTTGTCATCACATTTAGCTAATATTTAGTGTTAGATTTTGTTTCACAATTTTTTCCCGACAATTTCGCTCTTTCCTAGAAGGTTCTGGGATTAGGAAATGGAACTAATGGGTCCAAGCAATGTTCTCTCTTGTTTTTCATTCATTTGTACATCTTATTTCTTCTTTGCATACACAAAATAGTTTATTTTACTCTCTTGCTTGCGTAGTAGAAATCAGTGGCTCGTGTTACCCAAGTTTATGATACAGGTGCAACCAAATAAAAGGTTAGGTTTAAAATTCTTTGGTCTCCATGTTTGGTTCCCTAGAGGAGATAGTTACTGGCCTTTCTGGGTGACTGTCATGGCTGAAGAAGCTGATTCGTATTATACAAATAAGCCTGAAAAACTGTGGATCACTTTGAATTAGGAGACTGTTACCAATGAAAGGGAATCATTAGAGTATCACAAACTACCCAAAAAATATTCACTTCTTTGAATATTTATTTGAAATATTCATTCAAAGCCATGGAAGTGGAGAAGCACATTTAGACAGTGTGTGTAAAATAACAAGAACAGTGGGCCTTGGGTAACATTCTGAAATACTTGATATTTAAGGAGAGTGAGAAAACTATGCCAAGGAGTTTGAAAGAAGACAGGAATTTGATACATGTATCACACATGTGAAAGAATAGAATACTTCAAGAAAGAGACAATGATGGAAAGTATCAAAGGCTGCTGGAAGGTTAAAATATGTTAGCCTGGGATTTAGAGTCACCACTTTCATGGCTCACCCAAATAGTGAGATAGTTTGAGACAGTGCCAGGATTATAACAGATTATTTGGGGGTATTCTTTATAATGATGGAAAATATTCTTCCTGATTGAACAGATGGGTAGCTTGGGGAAAATTTTAGGCCACTACTCTAAGTCCCACCTTTAACCAAAATATTTTTTTTTCTTTTTTAAAAACTTCATTCAAATTAATATGAGGGTACATTTTTCTCACATCCAGTGTAAAGTTCCATTTATATAAGAGCCCCTCACCCAGGAGGTGTGTTATACACCCTCACAATGTGCATATCAGGTGAGATCCCACCTAATGCCCTCCTTCCTTCTGCCATACCACCTCCCCCCACACCCTCTCATTTCCCACTACCCCCAAACTGGACAATAATAGTATTTTCTTGTTATTAGGAACATGTAATTACATGTTTATATATTGATTTCATATTTGTATGGAATATATTGGATACTTATCTTTCCATTCTTGTGATACTTTACTAATAAGTAAAGTATCAATTTCAATTCCATTCAGGTAAATGTAAAAGATGTAAAGTCTCCATCTTTTTAATGGCTGCATAATATTCCATGGTATACATATACCACAGTTTGTTGATTCATTCATGGGTTGATGGGCACTTAGGTTCCTTCCACAACTTGGCAATTATGAATTGAGCGGCAATAAACATTCTAGTGCAAATGTCTTTGAGGTGAATGATTTATGTTCTTCTGGGTAGATACCTAGTAATGAGATTTCAGGGTCAAATGAAAGGTCTACATTTAGATCTTTGAGGATTTTCCATACTTTTCTCCAAAAGGGCTGCATTATTTTGCAATCCCACCAACAGTATAGAAGTGTTCCCTTCTCTTCACATCCACACCAGCATCTGGTGTTTTTAGACTTTGTGATGTGGGATAATCTGGCTGGGGTTAGGTAATATCTTAGAGTGGTTTCGATTTGAATTTCTCTGATGATTAAAGACAAAGAGCATCTTTTCATGTGTTTGTTTGGCCATTTGTCTGCCATCCTCGAAGAAGTTTCTGTTCAAATCTCTTGCCCACTTACAGAGAGAGTTGTTTGTACTTTTCTTATTGTTTGATTTGAGTTCTCAGTAGATTCTAGCTATTAGGCCTTTGTCAGATTTATAACTTGCAAAAATCTTCTCTCATTGTGAGGGCTGTTTCCTTTGTTTGTGGTACTCTTAGCCATGCAAAAGCTTTATAGCTTGAACAAGTCCCAATGATTTATTTTTGGTGTTGCCACAATTGCAGGGGGTGGGGAGGTCTTCCTCATACATTTTTTTTCTCAAGACAATACCTTCAAGTGTTTTCCCCACACTCTCTTCTAGAATTTTAATTATTTCATCTCTTAAATTTAAATCTTTATCCAACAAAAATCAATTTTTGTTACTGGTGAGAGGTGCTGGTCCACTTTCAGTCTTCTGCATGTGGATAACCAGTTCTCCCAGCATCATTTGTTAAATAAAGATTATTTTCTCCATTGCATGTTTTTATTAGGCTTATCAAAGATTAAATGATGATGTGTGGCTGGGTTCATCTAGATTCTCTATCGTATTCCATAGATCTGTGTCTCTATTTTTATGACAGTACTATGCTGTTTTGATCACTATAGCCTTGTAATATAACCTGATGTCTGGTAACATTATGCCTCCAGAATTGTTTTTATTTCTAAGAACTGTATTTGCTATTTGTTTTTTTTTTTTTTTTCTTTCTGGTTCCAGATGAATTGAAGTACTATTTTTTCAAGATCTTTAAAGTATGACATTGGTGCTTTGATGGGGATTGCATTAAATCTATAGATTGCTTTGGGTAGTATGGACATTTTATTTTTTCATTTTTTTTTTCAGTATGGACATTTTAATGATGTTGATTCTTCCCAGTCTTGAATATGGTATGTTCTTCCATTTGTTGACATCTTCTGCTATTTTCTTTCTCAAAGTTTCATAATTCTCTTTATAAAGATCTTTCACTTCTTTTATTAGATATATTTATTCCCAGGTATTTCATCTTCTTTGGTGCTATTGTAAAAGGAATAGAATCTTTAATTTTGTTCTCAGCTTGACAATTATTGGTATATATGAAGGTTACTGATTTGTGGGTATTGATTTTGTAACCTGAGATGCTGTTATATTCCTTGATCACTTCTAAGAGCTTTGTAGTTGAGTCCCTGGGGTTCCCAGGTATGAAATCATATCATCTGTGAAGAGGGAGAGTTTGACCTGCTCTGCCCTCATTTGGATTCCTTTGATCTCCTCCTCTTGCCTGATTGTGATGGCTAGGACCTCCAACACTATGTTAAGTAGCAGTGGAAACAGTGGGCATCCTTGTTTGGTTCCAGATTTGAGTGGGGATGCTTTCATGATATTGGCTGTGGGTTTGCTGTAGATAGCCTCTATCAGCTTAAGGAATGTTCCTTGTAAGCCCATTGTCTTGAGTGTTTTTAATCATGAAAGCATGCTGGATATTGTCAAAAGCCTTTTCTGCATCAATTAAAAGAATTCTATGGTCTTTGTGATTCTATTTATGTGGTATATTATATTTATAGATTTGTGTATGTGGAACCAACCCTGTGTCTCTGGGATAAAACCCACTTGATCATGGTGTTTGATCTTTTTAATGTGATGTTGTATTCTATTTGCTAATATCTTGTTGAATATTTTTGCATTGATATTCATTAATGATATTGGTCTATAGCTTTCTTTTGTTGTTGGGTCCTTTCCAGGTTTGGGGATCAGATTGATATTTGCTTCATAGAAGGTGTTGGAGAGGATTACTTCTTTATATTTTGGGAATGTTTGTGCATTATAGGAACTAGTTCCTCTTTGAAGGTTTGATGAATCTTATAGTAGAAGCAGGTAAATGCTATACTGACATTACAACCCAAATTGGGCAGCTGGAAGATCAGAGGGTAAATACCCCAGTTAACATCAAATGCCATGAATGTGGGAAGGTAGGCCATAAGAGAAAAGAGTTTAAAAGGGAAAAGAACACTGAATGCTAAAGAAAAGGAACAAAGAGCATGTAAACCTCCAGGTGTATGTCCCAAGTGTAAAAAAGGCTTTCACTGGGCAAATGAATGCTGTTTTCAACTTGACAAAGATGGAACAACTTTATTGTAGGGAAATTATCAGTTGGGCCAAAATCAGGAACCACTGGTAAATGAAAGAAAAATAGTTTAATATTTTCATTTTAAACTATTCTCAGAAAAAACAGTATAATTCAATTCTATGCCATGGGAGCACTCTGCCAGCTTGGTTAGACCTGTGGTGCCTCAGTGTAAAACTGGGGAAATTAAACCAGACCAATGGATGATGATGAAGAATAATTAGATTAAATATGTTTGTGGAATATTAGGTTATCCTGCGTGGTGAAGGGGTAACCGACCTCTCATCAGCGTCTGTGTACTATAACCTGGTCCAGCTAAAGGGCCTGGACACGGCCCAAATGGGAAAGGGACACTCTGAAGCAAGTGAAGCCTTTGGAAGATTATGAGAGTGAGAACAAAGGGAGGGAAGAGTAACTAAAAGTTAAACCACCTTTGTGCTAGGGAGCGCCATTTGAAAAAGGAGCTCAATTGGAATCAATTAGCAAAAATTCTGCTGGAAAAGCAGCTTGAAAGCAGAAAAAACTCTGCTATGGAGGAATTGTGAAGGGTGGCACCACTGAGGACCACAAGTAACAGAGCCTCTGAGAGGAACTGTGATGGGTGGAGTCATTAGTCCACAAGGAAGTCTTTTGAGATCTATGGAGGGTGGATTTAGGACCCTGTGTAGCAAAGCCTTTGGAATAGTGAGAGAAAAATCCTTGCTTGCAAAGATTGCAAGGAAAGCATTATCTTTTGTTCGGTTTGTTTAAGTAAATATCAAAGGAAAGTTCTATAGTTAAAAAAAAATGGTAAATTCTCTCAGCAAAGATTTTGCAGTTTTCTCCATTTAAAAAGATCTTTAAGGGAATTAACATTATAATCATAGGTTTTCCCTAGCCGGCTGCTAATAGTTTACATCTTAAATGGACTTCCTCATTTAAAGAGCTCATACCTGGAATGCTGAACTCGGATAATTACCATCTTTTGCCTAGAAAGAAAAGGGCCAGATAACAGGAAGAACTTCCCTTAACATATTAAAAACTATTTTGTTTGTATATAAAAAAGGGGGGAAATGTTGCATCCCGTATAGCTTATGGTTAGGAGGAGTGAGTTATAGAAAATACCTGTAGTGAACACCTTGATGAAAAGGGCATGGAGAGGGATTTAGTTCTAACAAGCATGAGAGAGCTCACAAGATGAGAGCAGTGGTGAATTGGCAGTCTCTACACCTGTGGCGTTGAGCGGCATGAGATCAGCCTTAAGTTAGGCTGGAGGAGAAGGCAGTTGGGAGCATGTGAATTCTATCACGGACAAGCTTACTCTGACTCTGTCTCCTCTTCTGCCTGCAGAACGCCAGCACGGCATCTCTCTGCTGAAGATTACCAAGCTCTGCTAAAGACTAAGATCTATCTGTTCTAAGACTGCTTTACTCTCTCTAAGATACACACACGCTCTCTCTCCAGCTAAAGTAGATAAGCCCTCAAGCACCTAAGAGAAACTGTTCCTGAGAAAGGCAGCTTAGCGGTCCACGTCCTACCCAAGCCAGGCCCGAGACCTGGCCAGTCCCAGGCCCTGACAACTCAGTTTAGCAGGTATAGGATCCTGGCTTGAAATTGTTTTTTTAAAGAAGGTTGAAGGTCAATGACCATTCTTTTCTGGGTTGGAAAGTTTCAGCTGAAAGGTCTTCAGTCATTCTTATACTTTTCCCTTTGTAAGTAATACTTTTCTTATGCCTGCCTGCTTGCAGAAGTTTCTCCTTCATATTAACATTGGCAAAATTAATTACAATGTATATAGGAGATGCTTTGTTTGAATTGAGTCATGCTGGGGTTTTGAAACTATCTGCTATCTGAATTTCTGTGTCTCTTGTAATACTTAGGAAATTCTCTGCCATAATGTTTTGGAGCTAAGAATTTGTGCCTTTGGGACCATCTTTTTGTCCTTCAGGTATCCCTATAATTCAGATGTTTGATTTCTTGGAATGATCCTATAACTGCCTCAGGAAATATTCTGTTCTTTTCCTCCATTTTTCTGCCTCTTTGAAAGCTTGGGAATGCAAAACCTTGTCATCTTTATAGGAGATTTTTTTCTTTGCTCTGCTCAGCTCTATTTCTGAGGGACTCTACTGTATTTTGAAGTGCCTTGAATACCTTTTTCAATTCCTTAAGCTCTGCTATATCTTTCCTCATTGTGTCCATATCATTAGTGACTTTGTCTTTGAATTCATTGAGACAATTTCTGAACTATTTTTTGCTTCTGTTTCCATCTTTTCCTCCAGTTCTAGTATCTTACTTGCCATCCATATTCTAAATTCTATTTCTGACATTTCAACAATTTCTCTGTGGATGGGATTCTCTCTTGTATTTTCTTTGATGTCCCCACAAGGTTTTGATCTGCTCTGATTTTTCATGTTGCCAGAGTTGAGCAGCTAATTCCTTCCCATGAGTATTTTTAGCTTCTTCTTTTTCTCTTGTTTAATATGTTAAATATGCTATTTTGGTTGAATTGATAGGGTGTCCCTGATGAGTCCACTCCCCACCTTTGCAGTGCACTAACACAGGCAGAGAAATGGTGAATCCTCATTCCTAGACAGTGTCTTCAGGGGGACAAGAATCAGTAGGCAGTACTGGCCCAGAGTTCCAATCAAAGTCTCTCTGCCAGTGCTGGCTTCACCCACCAAATCAAGGTCATGAGGCTGCCCTGCTGACAGTGCTGGCCCAGAATTCAAGAGAGATGCTTATGCACTGGGCATCATCCAGCCAGTCAAGAGCTGAGGGCTGAAGCACTGTAGACAACATAGGCCCAGTGGTCAAAGTCACAAAACACTGGGCACCACCTATCCAGTCAAGCTCGGGGGGCTGCTGCCTGGTGGGGGGCACAGGGCTAAAGTTCAGATAAGAATCACTCAGGCAGTAGGGACAGCCCACCCACTTGAGCTCAGAGAGCCTCCACCCAGTGGAAAGTGTTAATCCAAAATTCAGTACAAAGTCCCTTAAATCCAGACCCCACCTACCCAACTGAGCTCAGAGAGCCTCCACCGAGTGGAGAGTGCTAATCCAAAGTTCAGTACAGACGAGATCAGGAGCATTCAGGGTGGTATGGCCTTAGACCCGAAGTTCAGTACAAACCAATTAAACCTCAACCCCACCCACTCAATTGGCTCAGAGAGTCCACCTGGGGGAGGCCTGAGGCCCAGGTTTTGTCCAAAAGTCACTTAAACCTCCACCCCACCTACCCAATTGAGCTCAGAGAGCCTCACCTGGTGAAGGACAGCGATCCAAAGTTCAGTTCAACCTCTGCCCTGCCCACCCAACTGAGCTCAGAGAGCCCCTCCTGGAGGAGGCCAGAGGGTCCAAAGTTCAGTCCAAAGTCACTTAAACCCTGGTGCTTCCCACCCACCCAAATAGAGCTCAGAGAGCCTTGCCTGGCAGAGGCCAGAGGTCCAAAGTTCAACACAGTCACTTTGACACCTGGCTGCCCATCCAATCAAGCTCAGAGAGCCGTGCCTGGTTAAGGGGGCAGGTCCAAAGTTCAGTGACAAGTCAAAGTCATTTAAGCACTGGCCCCGCCCACCCAACGGAACTCAGAAGTTGTCCTGAAGGACAGAAAACAGAGCTGCCTGAGAATTCCTGAGGTGCTAGAAATGAGTGGTTCACCCTTGCCCCACAAAAGCTTAGGTTGCCATGCTACTGTTCACACACTGCCGCTCGATGGCTGGCAGACTTCCCAGCTTCCCAGGGAGCTCATCAAACACTTCCCAGCTTCCCAGGGAGCTCATCAAACACTTCCCAGCTTCCCAGGGAGCTCATCAAACACTCCGGACCCTACTAGGGGCAGTCCTTCCAGCAACTAGGGTGGAGGAAAGGTGGGTGGGTTCTCAGGATTGCAGGAAAAATATTTAGTCTTTTGTGCCAGACAGAATGGGGCCCAGCCTCAGTGGTGGGACCTCAGTAATGAAGGAGGACTGAGACTTAGCAGCTGTTCTCCCATGGGATAAGGTCAGGAGACTTTTGAACCCAGTTCCCGGGCTGATTGGTCACCCACCACAGAGCTCCTGTTTGGGGGGAGGGAATTCCCTTCTTCTGGGAGCTGGACTCCTACCTGTTATTTTTCTTCCACTTTCTTGTGTCTGCCAGTTAATTCAGCCTGGGTGACGTGTACCTCATGCACTCCTCTTCCAGTGGAGCGCCTCTCATTTGCTTTCCAGCCACTTCAGTCCAATATCTCTCCCTCTGGGCATGAGCCTCTGGTGAAAACTGCTTCTAGTCAGCCATCTTCCCACAATTCCTAACCAAAATAATTTTAAAGACACAAAGTCATTGTAGCCCTAGAAGGGTTAAAACTGTAAGAAAGGGATATGAATGTAGGATAATTGGGGACATATTTGTTAGTTAAAATATATAGATCTGTGAATTATACATATGTTCAACGTGTTATGTTTTCTTCAAAGTAATGTAAGTAAAATATAGTTCAGAAGAACTACCACCATGAAATGTATGTCACCAGAAATCTAAAATTATTAGGACTGGTTGTTCATTGAGATATTATAAATATATTAATGCGATAGCTATACAATTTCAGACCTTATTTCTTACTACCTTCAGAAGAAATATGGTAAAGCTGTGGTTCTCCTTCCTAATGCCATGACGTTTAATACAGTTCCCCATGTTGGTGTGACCCCCAACCATAAAATTATTTTCATTGCTACTTCATAACTGTAATTTTGCTAATGTTATGAATTGTAATGTAAATATCTGATATGCAGGATGTATTTAGGCAACTCCTGTGAAAGGGTCGTTCAACCCCCGAAGGGGTTGCAACCCACAAGTTGAGAACCACTGTGGTAAAGAAAGAAAAGTTTGCTTCTCTCATTGTTTTTCTGTGAAACTTTCCTCTCTGGAACTAACTTCTTACTTGATTTCTCACACCCCTCCAGAGAATTAGAAAAATGTGGTGAGTTCATTTGTTTTCCTGTCAACACATTTTCTTTGTATTGGGATTGCCCAGCCAAAAAAAAAAAAGAAGCATAAAATTTTGTTTGGGATATAATTTTTAATAATTTACACATTACTGTGTTTCTTCATATGAAGTTTTGCATTTTTTTAAGTTGACTATTTTTAAAACTACTCAGTCCTAAAATAACTGAATTAATTCCTTTTGTAACAATGTAGATGGAACTGGAAACCATTCTCCTTCGTGAAGTATCATAAGAATGGAAAAACATTTGGGAGCAAGAAACAATTATAAGAGGGATTTTACCTAACAAATACAATCAATGTAACCCAGTTTCTTGTATCCTGGATGAATCCCCAACAAAAAAACAAACAAACAAACAAAAAAAACATGGAAAAACAAACACTGCATGTACTCACTATTACAGAAGAACTAGTGTAACATCAGTCAGGTACAGAGATGCAAGTACTGGATGGAAATCAAGCAGGTTGTGGGGGGGATGGAAGGCTGCAATGTACACAACCTGGGTAATTGGCTTACAACTTTGTCTCAGCTGTACAAAAGCAATCCATGTAAACAAAATATTTGAACCCCTGTAATATTCTGAAATTAAAATAAACTGTATCTATGATGATAATAATAGTAATAATAAGCTTATATTAAACCAAAGGCTAAAAGAAATCAAGTCAGAAGAAGTTTTAAATAGAGTGTTAGTTTATTGTAAAATTTGATCTGGAAAAAAAATTTTTTTTTTTTTTTGGAGATAGAGTTTCATTAGGTTGCCCTCGGTAGAGTTGTGTTGTGTCACAGCTCACAGCAACCTCAAACTCTTGGGCTTAAGCAATTCTCTTGTCTTAGCCTCCAGAGTAGCTGGGACTACAGGTGCCTGCCACAATACCCAGCTATTTTTTGGGTGCAGTTACTGTTGCTTAGCAGGCCTGGCTGGCTCGAACCCACCAGCTTCCATGTATGTGGTTGGCACCCTACTCACTGAGCTATGGGCGCCAAGCTTGATCTGGAAAACTTTTTTTAAAAATTAGGATATTTTAGTAAATTAAATACCTATAGTCACCAATGTTGTTCAGAAAATAGCCAATGCCCATAAAAGCAATGAAAAAGCATGGCAATTTTAAATCTCTAGCTTATAAGACATTCAACACTACACAGTCTCTGCTCTTTAAAATAGAAACTCGATCTGTCCCATGACAGTCTGTGTGTGAAATGTACTTTGATGTCTTTTCATGTAGAATTATTTTTAACCCCCCAACTAACACATGATAATGCTAACATTCTTGGCGAGGTCCAATTGTCTGGACTAAAATGAAGTCTAGTGTCAATTCCAAGTTCCTGTGTGTTTGTCTGTTAGTTTTAGAGTTAACTCGAGATTATTCAAACTGCCTCATATTTGACTTGAAGAAACATGCTAAAGACATCAGAGATGTTTAAGATATTCTGATAACATTTTTATCAAATGTACTTGAATTTTTAAATTTGCATGTCAATGTTTTAATGTCTATCATGATGACTATTGTAGCACCTAGCATCCTATTGCTCAACAAAAAGAATTTGACAAAACTTCCAGTTCATTGATTTGATACTGAAATGTAGACTTTATCTTAGCCAAAAGGCTGAGAGGCAATGATTTAATATTGTAAAGTATTTTGTTATGTAACTTTTTTTCTGAAGCAAACTAAAAAGTCTATAAAATATTCAGACTGTGTATTGACACAAAATAGATAGCAGACACTTAAATATTTGTCTCATGAATGTACAGTCTGTCAAAATCACCAGTTATTACATTGAAATGACTCAACTGACTTCTCTGATTATTTTTCACTGCATCCATTGGTTGTTTTAGAAATCTGTGCAAGGTTCTGTTTTTGGAAACATAGCTTTCTTACGGCTCTGCATTCCAGAGTATCAAAATATTTTGAAATTACTCAAGAGTACTGTCATCAGGACACAGCAATTATCACATTACTGTCAGGATATTCTGGTAATGTTCTCAGACATATTTAATTGTAAGTATTTCTCAAAAGTCATAAATAATGTTGTGATTCCAGATTCATTTCAGTTTAGCAGATGTCTTATGTTCTTTGTCCACCCACAAACACATACATCCCTTAGTTTGAATATTCCTCAGTTCCCTCAGGTTCCCATAGCTATTCTCTTTATCTGCTCTCATCCCTAGATCTATCCGTTCCCCTTCTTTCAGCTTCATAATATCATATTTCACTGTGCTCCCCTCCATTTCCATTTTATTTTGAACAAATGCCTTACATTCTTGTACAATCCTCTCTTCCCACTAATATTTATATTCTACTGATAGTACCACTTTCGCAATATTTTCAAGCAAAGGTCACTTTCCCCTTTTTTTCTTTTGTCTCGTTGCCTGTTGCTATTTCTACTTTTTCTACTACATATGCACGGCTCCCTTGGCTTTGGGACTCCCTTTTTCCTGTACCATCATTTCGTCATTTCAACTTTCAATCGTTACCTAACCACAAGCAAGCACTGCCCTCCTTAAAGACCTTAGTATTCGACTCATTCACCACTCTTTTTCTCTGTCATCACTCCACATAACTTCAGCACACACATCAATAATCTTTCTAATAACCTATTTCACAGATTTCCTTGATGTCTTTAAACCATGACTTTTATCTTCAGTTTTCAGCCATGAAGAAGCATGGCCACAGTTTGGACCATTATCACATGAAATGGGTTTAGAAGGATATGCTGGAAATTAAATTCTTTTTTTTTTTTTTGAGACAGAGCCTCAAGCTGTCCCCCTGGGCAGAGTGCCGTGGCATTACAGCTCACAGCAACCTCCAACTCCTGGGCTCAAGCGAGTCTCCTGCCTCCGCCTCCCAAGTAGCTGGGACCACAGGCGCCCGCCACAACGCCCGGCTATTTTTTGGTTGCAGCTGTCATTGTTGTTTGGCGGGTCCGGGCTGGGGATTCGAACCTGCCACCTTAGGTGTACGTGGCTGGCGCCTTAGCCGGTTGAGCTATAGGCTCCGAGCCGGAAATTTAACTCTTAAGTGCATTCACTTGTCCTTCCAATATTTTCCATCTACTTATTCCTGTTAAACTTGATTTGGGCCTTTATCCTGACCCCTCCTCCATTAACTGCTCTCTCAACTCTGAGTCCATTATCTCTCTCCTGCCCTTGGTATCCTTCTTACCAAGATTAGACCCAAGACTAACAATTTCAACTTTCCCTCCAGAAGTGCTCTGGAATTCCTTACTAATGCAACACACATCTCAGGTGACCACGTTGCTATTGCCAACTAATTAAAAACAGCACTCTATTTTCTTATCTCTCTGTCCTGGAGATTCAATGACCCCTGGAGATACTCTACAATTTTATTTAGTCACCTCCTTTTCAAAACTGAATCCACTCAATATTAGCTAGGACCTCAAAATTGTTCAATAGTTTTTATTAATTTATGCAAAACTGATTACATGTCAACTTACCCCCCTCATGGCAGTTATATACATAAGCCTTGTTTCACTTTTATAAAGCCTCAAGTTTCACTTTCTTATCCATTGTGACTTTCATTGCATTTTATATATTTAGTTTTATGACTAAATATATAGACCTAGACCTTAGTCTCATTGAGAACTGCTCCACTTCTTCTCTTTTTTTTTTTGTCTTTTTTTCTATTAAGTTAAATACACATAGATCATGAACACATTCATGCACATGTGGGGTACAATGTGCTGATTTTTTTTTATTCAATCTGATGTGGTTACATTAAACCAATCAACATAGCTTTCACCTCATTTGCTTGATTATTGTGCCAAAACATCTATGTTCTACACTTCATATATTTGACTTGTACCCTTGTCATATGCTCCATAGGTGTGGTCCCACCTTTTACCCTCCCTGTCAAACCTCTGCTCTCCCCTCCCTTCCCACTCCATTTCTTTCCTTCAGCCTGGGCTATTTGTGTTCTATCTTTCATAAGAAAGTGTGAGTAAATATAAGTAGGTTTCATAGAAGTACTGAGTACATTGGATACTTTTTCCTCCATTCTTGAGACATTTTACTCAGGAGAATATGTTCCAGATCTCTCTATGTAAACATAAAGAGGTAAAGGCTTCATCTTTTTAAGACTGCATAGTATTCCATTGTATACACATACCACAATTTATTAATTCATTCATGGGTCGATGGGCACTTGGGCTTCTTCCATGACTTGGCTATTACAAATTGAGCTGCAATAAATAATCTGGTGCAAATATCTTTTTTGCAAAGTGATTTTGAGAAAAATGTGTATTCTGCTATTACTAGATTAAGTATTCTAGAGGGTCTGAAATTTAAGTTTGTA